TAACTCCGAGGGGCAGATTCGGCAGAGAAGAATGGCTCTTTTTGATCGTTGGATGTGACAGATATTTAATGCACTTTACTGTGGAAAGTAAGAAAAACCACAGTGAGTGATGTTCTCCTGAAGCGCGCATAACTCTGAAGCAAGTCTTCTTTTATGTAATACCAGGAATTTACATTGAAGTGGTTCCCTGACAAGAATGAGTTCAGAACTCTCCCTCTTATACAGTATTTTTTTTTTTACAACATGTACTGTAACGGGGGGGGCATTTTTTAACGCAGCAGTTTCACAGTTTTTAATGCATTAAGTGCAAATATGCAAAACATTGGGAGACACGTACGTGACATTGAGTTTCACAAGTACAAATAGTTTGACAAGGAAACAGTGTGCGGAAAAATGCAGCGAGAAACACCCACTAAATCAAACCTCAGATCAAACTGAATCTACGAATGAACGCATCGTGTAATGAAGACTGGAAACACACGATATTCTAAAAGCGTAATTTCTGACCAGCAGAAATAACATCAAACCAGCGAGAGATCGGTGGGGGTGGCAGCTCACCACTGGCCTCACGTAGGCAGATCACACGGCATTGAAGTCGGTCGTTTGTCGGCACGCTGCAGAGAATCTGATTAAAATATGAGAACTTAAGGGATATTTTGGAAAGTAATTCCATTGTCGCTTATTTTCCATTCTTTGCCCCAGCTAAAGATTGTTAATGGAGTGGTTGTTAACGGCACAAAGAACACCATTCTATTCATCTGTTAAACCAAATTTGGTCGGAAAGTTTTCTAGATTATAATCAAACACAACCGGGAGCCGTCTTTGGTGAAAGCAAAGGAGGAGTGAGTTGTGCTGACTGATGGTGAGATTAATATGCCAAAAAAAAAAAGGCACTTAAACTCCATCTCAATGGTTTTCTTTTTGCTATCTTCTTTTTTTTTTCTTTTGTGCTCATGAACAACAATGATTTTCCTAATTAACTTGGCATATAAGCTTTGATTATCACCCTTTCAATGGCATCAAAAGGTTTAATTTATTAATGATTTTCTGCACCAAACGGGTTAATATATAAATTATTTTTAGCATCAAAAGGGTTAATATAAAAAAGGGTTACTATAGTTACTATCTTCTGCATCAAAAGCATTCATATAATAATTATTTTCTGCATGAAAAGGTTACTATAATACTTGTTTTTTCTTTGATAATAACCTCTTTTCCAGATTGCTAACTGCTAATGTAAAAGATTCACTGCCTTAATAGTAGAAAAAAATAGCTTTGATTCCAATTTATCCAAGGTTGCCTGAGTAGTCTTCCTCTTTTGTAACAAATGGTTTCTGAGTTATCACACAGGAGAAGATGGGTTAAGTACTATACTCTTGGCACAGTGCAGCACTGCTGGGCCACTAGAGCCTCACTTGTTTATTTCCAGCCCAGATTTTTTGCCAACGTCTCCGGGGATTCAAACCTGTAGTGCGGATACAGTGAAACGAGAGCGAGGGAGCAGCGCCGCATGGACCAGAGCTCAGACTGATGAAGTTGCAGTCCTGTGGCCTTTTGCATCAGCAAAATGAGCCACTGAACACCTCAGGAATAAATACTCCCATTAGAGAAAGACTGCAACTGAGGCTCATGGCAATGACAGACAGGGCAACATTAGAGCAGGTTTGATGGTAATAAAGCACCCAGAGAGAGTTTCTTCCTTTAACCCTCCTCCCTCCGACCGGGCTTCCTGCAGACCAAGAGGTTTATAATTTTTTGTCAAAGCTCACAGGCGTTTTAGTCTATCGCAGCAATTTTTCATGACTTTGTCACTCACTTTGTATAAATTTGTTTTCTCCTTCTGTTTTACTTTAAGCTTGTTAAAAATACCAACATATCAGGGTGCGCCTGTGCACTTTCAATAGAAAGAGCTATTTACAGAGCTCTAATTTAAAGCATGGCGCGCTGTCCGAGGAGGTAGAGACATTCTGTCAGTCATTTTGAAGAAGACAGACATTGCTCAATCGAAAAACTAATCTAAAAACTGCTCTTTCTGATATAAGATCAGAGTCTGAAATACAATTTCATAATAAAATGTTCTGAAATTATTTATTCTCTTATACAAGAGCGGACTAAAATAGTGTAATACATATGACTGACATGCAGTCAGACTGTGAGGGAAAAGCACAGATGTAATCAATTTTGAGGCAGCAGAGGGAGGCGGTAAAAAAAAAAAAAGAAGCGTGCAAAGAGAAAGATTCGAGGAAGTCTGCTGTTTCTTAGAGCTCCGAGGCGTGTTTGGCCGTAATAAAACTAGAATATATCTCTATAATTTAGTGTTAGATAAGATCAGTGTTGGTTTTTCAGGCAACAATAGGGAGCAAATCAAGACTGTTGCTGATATTTTGAGACATAAACCAGAAATATCTACTTGAAATGACTGAAAATGAAAGTATGCCAGAATCAATGGATGATAAATAAGCTGCTTGGGATAAAAGCTGCAATTTCTATGAAGGAAAAATACACACAAAAAAAACACTTTGAATACATAACTAATAATGTTTTGAGAATGAGATGTTTGTCTCTTGCTGTGGTAGTCCTCATATGCTTAATGTGTTTGTAGACTGATGGTGGCAGCATTTTGTTTTCAGGGTAGTAGGCTGCAGAGTGAGTGGAGATACTTGTTTAAGCTGAAGTGTCCTTGACCTGAATCCCTACTGTGCTTTATTTGAGCTACTCTGTATCTGACTGTGGTGTGAGCTCCCTGTGGAGGGGGGGTAGAAGTAAAGAAACTTTCGCCTGGGGGATCAATACGGAATCACACAGAAAAAGCAACAATTGAGTGGATTTTTTTTTTTTTTGCTCAGCGACTCACTTTACAGCACATTTGGAGTGTATCAGCAACACCGCTGTGGAATTTTTATCACCAACTTTAGTTCGTCTTCGCACTTTCTCCAAAACAACTTGCAAAAAGTTGGCATTTCTCCTGAACGCTCCGTCTCATATCCTTAACAAACACCGAGCAGATGCTAGCTCATCGCTGTCGATTAATGTCTGGGAGACACCTGGAGCTGACCATGGGTGGCTGCGACGTTATCAGTCCTTACAGGTAAACATGAATGCGCGAATGAAGACATACTCTGTGCTCTATTTTTCAGCTCTCAGCAGGATGCCTGATCTAAAAAAAGTAGCTGCGATGACAGAAGCTGCAACATGTGCATGCGTGTGGTCTCCTTCTGTTTAATTAAACATGGATGTGTCCGGGGGAACAAACACAGACAGATGGCACTTAAAAATTAACTCCATCACACTTGTTTTTTTTTCTTTTTTTCTTGATGAAATTAAAAGAACATATTCCCATCATTCTCATCATCCCCATCACCCAGGTTTGAAAAAACATTAAGTTTCATCTTGAACACCTGAGCTGAACCTATTTGGAGGCAACTGTTATATATTAACAGCTGTGCCATTTAGCAGCTTATGAGAGTTGCAAATGAAAGGCGGCAAATGTGTCTTTGATCAAAGTAAATATGCTGCTATAATACAAGTTAACCAAGCTGTCCAAATAGAGTGCTAGAGGTGTCGGTGAAACCTGCATGTAATTACGACCGCGGTGGCTGAGGTGGCCCCAATTAAGCCCATATCACAATGTTGGAAGACAAGGAGTCGATGAGAGAACAAAACAAAGCACAAGGGGGGGGGACAACAAATGGGCAACGAGAAGGAGAGCCGGAGAATTGAGTTAATAGAAGGTGCTCGTTTGACCTGCAACACTGAGCTCTCCAAACTGAGGATACATCAAAAAAATAACAACAAATACCGACAGCCAAAGACAGGCTCTCCCATCAGGATGCAGCGGTGACGAGGCGCTGACATGCCTCGCCATCGGTTGCCTTTTTCTGAGCGGAGCTCCTAGAGGAATGCATCTCAGGATGATTCAGGAAGATAATGGCAACGACAGAAATAAGACAGCAGCGAACGCGTTTGTACGTGAGAAAAGACTAGGTAGTGGATGAGAAGGTGTGACTGCTAAATTGCTACTTTATGGGAGGTCAGTCTTTTCATTTTGCGCGTTTCTGCAGCTACTAATGTGTCATGAGTGATTATCAGATGCTATATATGCTCCAGAGGTTGCAAGGTTTTGTGTGGGATGTTTCATAATGCTGGTGGTGTATTATTTAGCTTTACAACAGGCCATTACACAACCTGTGGGATGTGTTTCTTTTTTTTTTCCAGCTAAATGTGATTTAGGTAGATTTTTTTTCTGCAAAAAAAAAAAAATCATCCATAATATTAAATAAATGCCTGCCTCTTGTAATTTATTCCACAGACATGCAGATTCTGTGAAAACGCACATAATCACAACATTCATTTTAAACTGTAAATCTTAACCAGCCAGTTAAAAAAAAAAAAAAAAAAAGGTTAGGACGGTCAGCTTTGTGTTTACAACGTTCAAAAATCCCTTTTTCTACCAAAAAACGTTACAGAAAACACACAAACAAACAAAAACACACTTCAAGGATCCCATGCATCCACAAGGCCCTGACCCATATTCTTTAATCTATTTCCAAGAGGGACACGAGAAGCTACAGCTATCATGTTCGCTCTCTCTTATTTTTACCAGGACTGTGGATGAGGGAACGTACGAAAACAGCAACAGAAATAACACAAGCATCACATCATTCTGTCATCAAGGAGAGCGCTTGTATTTCAACACTTCCTTGCATCATCTTTGCTTTGGAGGAAGCTTTGTTGCAGAAAATAAGCCTATTCATATGTGGAGTGATTACTGTGTGTGTGTGCGCGCGGTATTAAATAGGTCTGGGTAATAAATCTGATGGCTGCTGCCACTGTGTAAATATAGCCAGGGGATTTGGTCTTGTTAGATGTTCCAATTTCATCACCGCTGACTGCTCATCGCATCAAATGGCTTATGCTGGGGTCCCGAACAATGCATAGGCTGAGGGGAAGGACGGATGGTGGGGTGGTGCATGTGAGAGCTATTGTTGCCGGAGACGTACCTGACCACACCCGGGACAGTCGTTGCCGTTCTCACAGGTTCTGCGTCGCGACTGGATGCCTCCGCCACAGGGCACGGTGCAGCGTTCCCAAGCCGACCAGGCCGACCAGTAGACGTGCGCTGGGCAGGGCAGGTGTTCGTTACAGTACCTGGGAAAAGACAGGAGAGGATAGGAATGGATCTTTACTTGTTCACACTGAGCACAAGATCTAACTTTTTGATTCACCTGACAGCAAAAAATACCGAAAAAAAACTCATTTAAAGTGAGGCAGCTCTAGCAATCAAATGATCTGTGCTTACATCAGCGCAACAAGCCGTAAAAACAACAGACGCATCATGTTTTACTGGCAAACATGTTAGTAGTTTTTCTTTTTTCTAGTCATCTAATGAAGGCCAGTCCAATGTGACTCTACAATATGTCTTTCTACAGCTGTTTTGCTCTTCACCAACTCCTGAGAGAATTATCTGTAGCTGCTAAATGCTCTGCTGTGTTTACCAGCTAGATGCACAATGTGTTTATCTGCCGTTTGGAGGTGGACCAGTTGTGTGCAGTGGGTTTATCTGAGCTTTTTTTTTGGGAATTTTTTTTCTGCCTGCTTGCAAAAAATGCACTAAAAACGCAACAAATCATAAAAGCTAAATAAATGGTAAGTGCACTCCATACAGTCGCAGGTAACTGTAGAGTCAAGTGATGATTATCTGCAGGTTTGTCACTTTAACTCTCTGAAACGCCAAAATAACACCATTTATCACAGCAAGAACCAGAAAAAAATCACCAGACTTTCTGACGGTCCTTGAACTACTCATGTAACATGTGCAAGTCTAAGCTTAAAACTGTATTATTTCATCAAAATTAGTTTATTTTCAGTTCAATTCAATTCAGTTCAAATGAAATCAAATAACTTTATTCATCCCCCAGAGGCAATTCAAAAGCTCAATGAGTACATCTCTTGTTTTAAAAATTCACTAAAAATAAACCATTTGTATGAGACAGAGTCTTCTGTGCTCTTTGGAACAGTCATGACTCTCTTACTGACTTAGACATGACCAACCATCATGTGACAAAAAATAATTGGCATGTCATTTGAACTGGAATGAACTGCAGACCGTGCTGGGAGATAGGAGAAAAGTATGGGAAGGAATTGCAAATGTAAGTAGTGAAATATTTATAACATGTGTAGGCCCCATTTTTTCCAGTATGAGAACACCTGTGAGAAAGATTCATGTGATTTATGTCCTCTAAGTACACAATTTCAATGATGAAGAGGGGAAAATGAGCAAACGTGAATGAGTATAGAAGCTCTGACAATAGAGGCAAACCTTCTGAATCATGCATTCTTTAAGGTTGTCTGAGGAAAATGAAATAACTACTTTATCTGACAGACCACTAAAATTATACGTGAAGGGCACCGAAGATGTCGCCACGCTTTTGAAACCTTGCCCCTGAACTGGAATAACTACAAAGAGTTCAGACCACTTGAGAGAAACGTCTGAAAAGGCGTGTAAACTTCACTTGAAACAAACTTTGACGAACCCTACCATCTCTCTTTGATGTGGCCCTGGAGTGCGGAACACACTGTGGGCCTGAATGTATGACTGCACCACGCCACCGGAGACGGCTCCGTGGCATATGCTTGTGTACGGTGTAAAGAGGCCGGTGTTGCTTTAAAGAACAACTAAGAAAATTACATCTCAAATCTTAATGAACGTGCATATGCACTTTGCATAATTCATTGACATTGCCTATTAAAAAAGCCACAAAGTTGCATGCATCATCTCTAATTGCATCGTTTTACAAGACAGGATTACAGCAAAGTCTAAAATACTTTAATTACTCAATCCTCATTATGCATTAACGACAGACGATTGCCAGGCTTATTAGAGCTGTATAATTTATTTTATAACTTTTACGCATACTATAAAATTGCTTTTATTGCTGTTTTGTTGTGTTTTGGCACATGACTGCCTTTTGAAGAAAACTAAGACTTCTTGTATTAAAATAGCTTTAAATTCAAACCCTTCCTCCAGAGGCTCAGGCTGGATATTTCCATTGTGCTCCTCTCAAATACTCTACTATTGTTCACGGCGAATCAAAAGCAACATTTTGTATAACCCTGGTTGTAAAAAATCCTCAGCGCAGTGTGTTCCTTTTCCACTTTTCCTAATCTGCAAGCTTGTAGTGGGCTGATACAGTGGGGAGGAGGAGTGTGGAAATGTGAGGACAAGTGTGGATTACAATCTTGCACATGCATGAGAGAAGAAGAAAGAGGTACAAACACACTCTTGTGTAGAAATTCTCTCATGCAGACTTGGGCAAAATATTCCTGCTGCAGCAAAACACAGTAAAAAAAAAAAAAGTCTGAAATCAATGCAGTATATTTAGAGCTTTAAAATCATCATCACACCCTTTAATCATTACAGACGAGTGAGTGTCTTTGTTATCTTATCCTTTTCTCTTCTTTCTAAAGCACATAGAGCTGATCAGACTAAAACGAGGCTAATTACCCGCTATAGGCTGAGTAAGCAGTGTGGACGCTGTCAGTGTGCTGAGGGAAATACCAACAGAAGGTTCATAAATGCAGGCATTAACCAGCCAGATTTAAGCCCGTGGCGCTGATGTGTACGGTCGGTTTCATAGCATTTGCTTTATCTTTAAAAGCTCTGGCTGCTGCCAACAATCAGGGCCAAACTTATTAGAGGCCTGATGGCTAATAGACATGCAACAAAACAAAAAAAAAAGGGTGAAAGGAGATGTTTTGCTTTGCCCTTAGAATGATAAATCTGTGTGTACATGAGCTCATGTCATGTGCATGCATGTTTGAACAAAAAGCCGGCGACAATAAAGCCTGTGAGTTAATCTGAATAGGGTACTTGAGGCAACAGTGGAAGAACAAAGTGTGTAGTGAGCCTTGCTGCAGATGCCTAACACCTCTAAAAGGAAGCCCCATAAAATAAAAGCCTTTCACAGCATTAAAAGAATCGTTCAGTGCTCAAAAGCTGACAAAGTGCCAGTCCTCCTCATGCCATGCAGATTAAAGCTTATTCAGAAGACTTTACCTATTTCACACGTGGGTGACTATAAACAGCAGATGTGGTGGAAGTTTTTGGACGCCGTTACGTGGGCTGAACAGGCATTTTTTCCAAAATTTGAACCTGCGATAAACATTTCTGATACACCTGGATATACTCGTACGCACACACAATAACACACACACACATGCACATATACACACCACACACACACAGCATCCCCTTCTTTCCCCCCCTCAGGCAGACTCAGACTGACACAGCATAATTCATCTGTTAACACATTTTCTCTCCGTCTCTGTGCTCCACTGTTCATCTGTCTGACTCTCTTTCTCACACACACACACACACACACACACACACACACACACTTCTGCTCTCACTCCCACCTTACAAAGATCCTTTTCCAGCCCTCACAGCTGGCCCCTAACAGGCCTAAGGTGTTTTAAATAGCTGAACAGAGCAAGTACTGAGAGCAGGAAGGGGAGATGAAACAAATGAGATTAAAGCTTGGAGTGAGAAACAGAGGGGGTGGCGAAAATCTGCTGCTGGCCTCCTGCGGTCTTTCAGTGCCAGTCAGTGTTTTTTTTTTATTTTTGGGGGTGTTTTTTTTGGGGTGGCTCCTGAGTAACTGGGCTGTGCCGGTCACTCTTGGCGGGCCGACTCGGTGGAGCAGTCCCGTTCTCAAGGACTGCTCCACCAAGACGAGCAACGGGGACGAAAAGGAAAAAGCCGAAGGTTAGGGGAGGAAGAGAGGAAATGAAAAAGTGCGGAGAAAAAAAAGGAGTAATAAAAGGTTCATCCTTGAAGGCCGTATCCAATTACTCCTCCATCACGATGCTGTTTCTGTTGCCATGGTAACAATTGCTAACAATTTATATCTCGTTTTTCCAACCCTGTACCTTCTGAACTGTATTTATTTGCACTTTTTCTGCCTTCACCTCTGGTTACGAGCCACGGCTCGATGAAAAACATCAGCATGATGTCTCGCTGTGTAATACAGACACTATGGACACAAAGGAGGAACGTCTCGGTTAATGAAAACGTACCAGTCTTTGCTAGGATGCATTTAAAGTCATGTAATACAGCCACTGTTGTCTATCAGTCACAGTTGAAACTGTCAAAGTGGTCCTGTAGTCTTTTTCTAGTTTGGAAAACACTGGACTAAATCTCTCAAATCGCCAGAACAAACTGAGACTTTATAACTTTATTGGAAAAAATCTTGACCTTTTCTACCTGTGCAGCTTTGAATGTCTCTTTGTGCTTCTTCACATACTTTCTCCTTGAAAAACAGATTTTCTTCTCGGGCCTTGAAGGTTGCTTAGAAACCACATAAACATCTTTTAAAAAGGCGATTATTCTATGCCAAAGCCTCCAAAGCTTCAAAACGTAGACTCAGTCTGTGTGTGAAAGCCAGATAATTACCCAAGCACAGGCCTATCCCACTCATTCCTTAATTGGCTGTCACATAGTTGGAGAGAAGTGAGAAAAAAAAAGTAAAACAAAAAGTCACAGCCAAAGTCATACTTCCAAACTGCAGGTTGCAAATTATTAAAGAAAGTTGACTTTTTTCCCTCCCTTTCTCTTTGATACACACAGATCCAAATATGAACGTACAGCGTGGACGTATGAGTGCGGGTGTGCGGTTGCTTTATTTACCTCTCCTCGCGGTTCTGGCCCACACACACTCGGCCGCCGTGGCGAGGGGTCGGGTTGCTGCAGGAGCGCTGACGCACCTGGAAGCCGATGCCGCAGCTGGTGCTGCAGGGCGACCAGGAAGTCCAGGGAGTCCATGCCCCGTTTCTATAGAGACAGACAAGGCCACATCAGTTTGAGTTAGTACAGCCACTGATTGAGAAGGAGTGCAATCATAGCTAGCCATCCATCCATAATCTATACACCGCTTAATCCTCACTAGGGTTGCGGGGGTCTGGAGCCTATCCCAGCTGACTCAGGGTGAAGGCAGGGGACACCCTGGACAGGCAATCATAGCTAGTAGATTTTAATTCCTTAACCCCACAAATCTCCCATTTTTAATCACATCAATAAACGTCCGTTACCTTGCACGCGGCTTACAGTTTACATTTTTTAAGGCTGAGGTCATTTTATTTAATGAGAATGCAAATTATTTCGAGAACATGCTTTTCATCTTTCTTGTTTATTTCTCAAAAACAAATAAAGTCTCGTGCTTAAAGCCTATTCCTCATTGTTTGTTGCACAGAGAAGGGACATAATCACCAAAACACAACAATCACTGATGATTGTGCCTGTGTAGATAAATTAAGGTTGTAAATGACAAAACTAGTATTTATGAACACTTCTTATTACTCTAGTGCTCAGTTCACCTACGTGTATGTACGTATATATATTGACCTGCATTGTAGCAGTTAAACAGGGAGGGAATAATATTTATAGCACTTGTAAATAGAAGATGAATCAGAGGCTATTTTAATGAAATAGATTAAGTGATGCACAGTAAAAAGAAAAAAATAGCCTGAATGTAGGTGTCACAGCTTCTTTATGTGAGAATTTGCTGCTTTTTCTTTGCTCTCTTTCATTGTAAATGTAATAATGGGCCCAGGTGATAAGCATTTATCACTACTCCCAGACTTTTACTACACTTAAAAATATATATTTTTTTAAATGTGCACTTCTATATTCATAAAATGAGAGACATAAAACATGAGAAACAACCACATGAGCAGCAAAAACAGCTACGACATAACAGTGGGGTATACAGTGCAGTGCCTCCGCTGATTATTCATTTCATCATTATAGGGTCTGCTTGACCTATATAAGGGAAGCCAGGAATGCAAAATGAACTCATGTAGGACTGCTCAGTAGTCTGTATCAACTCAAAGTACATAATGTTGAAGCGCGTTTCCAAACCTGATTCCAATTTGTTCCAGAATTTAGCCTCACTAATCACATCAGTTCTTCATTCTATACGAAGAAAGTTGAACTATTTAAGCAACCAAGTTTCTATCAAGAAACATTTTAGTTTAGGCATCTTCCAGTTCAACAAAATCAATCTTTTTGTGCTGGAATATACAATTTTTCTTAATTAGTTAGCTGACAAAAACACCTCCATTTTTTCACTGAGATGTTCAGTTGCACTATAGTGAGAATAGTGAGAAGACTGATGCCGCAGCGTCTCACCGTGAACTTTAATAGTCTGTGTAGAAAAAAAAACATCCAATCAACACTTGTTTTGCTGTAAATAAGTGACAGTGACAGTGAAAATGCAACACGGAGCAATTTACTGCGGATTCCTAATGAGTGGGTGTGAGGATGTAGGAAATAAATTAATTCATTATGCCTGGTTAAGTGTCATTACTCTA